AAAAAAAAAAATCGAAATATAAGCTAAGATTTTTTTTTGTGTATGATAGTAACTGACACAAACAACCAGAAGAATCGCCACAGTAGAGACGCAATTACCCCACACACACACACATATATACACAYACACAGTAAAATAACTGTAGGCATAATATATATAAACTTAAAGAGCCTGAATGTATGCAACACAATTTATTCGTTCGACAAAGCTGGCGATAAAAATGAGCGAACACATATACATGTAATACTCATAATGCCAGACACTGATTTGATTTTGTAATTTGGCTTTGATTGTAGCGTGAATAAAATTGCTTTTTTTATCCAGCGACTAAAACTTGTTTCAACAGTTCGAACATTTTTCAGTGCACGCAGCATCAAATAGGTTTCAAAATTAATTCAAAAGCAAAGAAACATCAAAAGAAAAGGAACATTTAAAAGAATAAAAAAAAAAAAAAGTAAAAGTAAAAGAACAAGAAGCAGCAAACAAGTAAAGGCTACTTATTTAATAAACCATTTGAAATGTAAAATCTATTTAGTTGGCTTCAACACACAACACAAATAAAAACAAAACAGATATGCAAATTAAAATAAAAAATAATTAAATCAATAAAATTGACATAAATGTTATATATTTATATGAGTATAATGCTTTCAAGGTAGGCAGGCTGGATCACGAATGATACGACTCGTACTTTAGTTTCAATAAACAAAGTTCAGTTTTGGTTGCGGTAAGTTTTTGGTTGAATACGAAGACGAAAAAATATTAAATATACGAATTTGTTCATTTGAATTTCAACTTCTTAATTATCAGTGTCTGCTATACATATAAATCAGACTAGAGTATATATTAAGCACATTTTGAACTGTTAACCGCGTTAACCGTTAACCGTTTTATTGTTCTCATTCTGCTGGCGAAATCAAACGAAACATATCATACTTACTCCCTCTCGCTCAAAGCAAGAGACTTCGATTTCGTTTTGTTTTTTTTTCTGTTAAGCGCCTTGAGCGGAACTATTCGTGTGGCGCTCTCTTAACATCGTTGAGGATACGATTGGCGCACGCACAATGAGCAAATAGATCAAGAAGTCAATGCGATTGGTCTTCACACTCCCATACATATGACACACTCAATTCACGTACGCCATTAATGTGCTTAACGAACATAGGTTTAACATGCATACCAATACATACACAAATGAGTGTTTGCTTCATTTGACTCAGCCAAACGGTTGGGGTACAGCCAGAGCGAAGCAACAACAGAAACGGTTATTAACCGATCGCAAACAAAGTCGCTAATGAACCGATTTAAGCGGCAGCTCTCTGAGTGTTTTCTCAAAGTTGGAGTGAAAGCCACTAATAAGTACTGCATATTATGCAGACATTGAGAAGCGGTTAACAGTGAGTCATTTAATCTTTTTTTTTTTTTTTTTGTAATTTTAACTATTTAACATATGCAGAACTTTATATGTGACCATGTTAACTTTTTCGCTGTAAATATAGACTCACAAAATATAATTTAAACAGGAGAAAAAAATATAAATTCTGAATAATTGAAAACAAATATTTAACAATATCAGCCATATATTAAAAACAAATATTAATATCATATATAAAATGAACAAATATTCAGAATGTAATTACCATTATTTTATATGTATGCTAGAAATTATAATTATCAATTTGGAAATTTGGTTTATTTGAACCGCAAATGAACACAAACTCTACAAATATTTTACAATCATAGGCAGGCCTGTTTGTGATTGTGTTTTTGGTCTAAAATGCCTTAATATAATCTAATTTAATGCCAATAGTTTCAATTTTGAAAATTTGAGGTTTCCTTGAAATATGCTTTGCCAAAATTTAAGTACAGTTGAAAAGTTGCATGCTGGCCTTAAAGCAGTAAGCCAAATATTCAATAAATTTATGCAACGCAAGGTATTAAAATTCAACTAAGGCGTTATTATACATGTAACTAACTACAAAGCAGCAAAAAGAGAGAACGAACCAACAACACCAATCACAACTAACAAACTTTTAAAGAGCAGCAACGATACCAACACACAAACACGTACACACACACACATAACTACTTATGTGGTAACATTTTAATGGAATGAAATTCAATAAAGCAAAACTTATTATTTACGCACAACTTTTTGAAGTTTCTCTTGCGATGCAGATAAAATAAAAAAGAAGAAGAGCATTGATGGCATGATACTCGCTCTCCCATATAGACATGCCCAAGGGACGAATAATATATATGAATATATTTACATAAATGTATAGACATATATATATGCATGTGTATGTTGTACGAGGAATATATACATATGTACATATGTATATGTAATGTGAAGTGCATTGTCTAATAACTTTGCTTCGCATTATTAGAGTAGCGTGCCTTGGTAACACTCAAATTGGTAAGTAGCGTATTTTAGCCTGAGAAAAAATAGAAGGAGCTGCTAAGAATTAACACAGGGGACTCTTTGAAGATGGATCGATGAAGATAGAAAGATGCTATATTACGCCAGCTCCGATATACATATACATGTATATTCTAAAATCTTAGTAAAGATACATATAAAGTAGATATACATACATATATCCAAAATTTTAATAGTTAAACATATATCTCATGTATATGTACATATATATATTTTTTTTTAGTTCTGCCATCATCAACCCACAACTATATAATATAACCTAAGGATTGTCTCTTGACTACATATTGGTTTCTAAACCTGCTGCCCCTAGCTTAAATAGGGTTTCATGTGACCCAAGCGTACCTCAGCTAACATTCGCATTGCATCAAGCCAATATACTCATCTGCCTACATGAAAGAGCAAACAATTAATTAAAAATATGGCAATGAGAGAGAATGGATCGCTGGAGTAATTTATAGTATATTATTTATAATCTCTATCAATACTGGAATATGATTGTAAATTGCGGAATTTTTTCATTTCCCATTAAACAATTAGAAGCTTGAGTTGCAACGACTTATGCTGAGGCTTCTAAACTGAGGCTTTATCTCTGAGTACCTGATCACCAGCGGACTCAGAGCGAGCGGTAGAGTAGAGAATGATATACATATATGCCGGGGCATATTCAGTGAGTGACTCATTGAGCCAGATTATTGAGCTGATTGTCGCTCCGATGAGCAATGTCTTTTTTTTGCAAATTCTTATACAATAACTCATATTGCCATTGTCTTGCACCAAGTGTCATTGTACTAGTTCGGGTATGTTCGTAAATTCCTCAATACTCTCCCGCAGTTCACAGTTGACGTCGTCAATACTTTAGATCTAGCTTGATCTATTACAAATATTAAAAAATAAAATAAATATTTTTAGGAGAAAGAATTTATAAAAATTATATAGTTATTTTTAAGCGTAAATCCAAAAATATTTTATATTTATTCAGGTAAAAAAAAAGCTTCACTCAATTTGCACATGCATTAAATATTTCGCTCAAGTATTAAGCTCCATAATGTGCACTTCAATGGCAAACAAATGGCTCTGAGAGCTTGCAAGCTGGCAGCCAGGTCTGATTCCGATTCCGATTCTTATTCAGATTCTGGTTGGAATTCGGGTTGCTGTTCGGGTTGGCTTGAGCGGGATTGGCCTGGGTTGGGTTGGGTTGGGTTGGGTTGGGTTGGGTTGGGTTGGGTTTGGGTTGGCAATTCTATTGGCAATGCCAATGTCATTTGCATGATGCTCGAGTGGCTGTGTGCGTTTTCGCATTCGCATTCACTTAAACGCTTATAAGTGATGCCGATGTCGATGCTGGTCCCGGTGACGGTGCCAATGGCATCGTTTGGTGCACTGCAAATGACGCACTAACGGTAGACAAAGTGCCGCCTAATGCCCGGGCGCCCCGTAGCAAATTGATGTACTCCACTCAGCTTCAAATGCGTGTAACAATATCTTCAGGATGATAGAAGCTGCCTTCAATGCCTTCAATGCTGCACTACTTTTCAATTACAGTTTCTTCTCGCTGCCCCTGCTGCTCCTGCTGCCCCTGGCAGCTCGCCGCCAGAGGGGCGTGAAAATCTGTCACTGGATTTGCATAAAGTGCTGCAACGCTCGCTTTTGCATGCCACGCTGCCATTTGCCAAATAATTTCAATTCAATTTACAACCAAC